GCCAAATACTGGAGATGGGGAACCATGTTCCGGGGGAAGGGACCACCTATGCAAGGCCACGGAAGTGTGAAGGCCACCAGTAGGGTGGTGGAAGCCTAAGAAATTCAACAAGAGAAGCGGCTGAAATCAAAGCTGCCATAGAGGGGTTGGGAAAGCAGGCGGATGTCAGCTCGTGCCAGACGAGGATGACTTGTAACACTTGGAGTCTGGCTGGTAAACACTGCTGCCCTGAATTCAGATTAGGTCAACTGAGTCCAGTCACTGGGTCATGTCAAGCTAGGTGAGAGGCTTTGGCCAAGACCTATCCAAGTGGAGGCGCCCCTCAGGGCGGGGAGTCGGCCCCCAGCACCCCGCCACTCTGCCTCTGCAGGAAGGTCCCTGCCTGAGGAGGCCCTCCCTGGGTGTCACCCCTTGTCCATTCTTTCAGGACCCACTGAGGCCTCTTCTCGGGAACGCCTTCCTCATAGGTGTTCCCTGTGCACAACATGGGTGCTCATCTACTCGCCTTCCTGAGTAGGCTGCAAGCTCCTGGAGGGTGGGGACTGTGCTTATTCATTCAGTCATGGGCCAGGCCCGCCTGATGGCTGTGCTGAAAACGCAGTCAGTGACTTGCAGGAAGTGGTATGACTATTACTGATGCTAATGACATATAGCTGGTAGTGATGATGTTTATTTCTTGTTGTGCTAAGGACCTTGTGTTTGCTTATTTGCTTACACTGGAAACCTCACTCCCATCCTGGACGGCTCCTTCACCCTCTCTGCCCTCTCCACACAGTGCCAGTCAATCCCAAAGAGAGTTCGCTGTACTTACTATATGTTTTTCAAATCTGTACTTTTGCCTGGGGGTGGGGATTCTTCTATCTTGGTCCAGGCCAGCCATATCTCAGAACACATGACCACAGTGGCCTCCGCCATTCTCTGTGCCTCCAGTCTCCATTCCAATGGTTTTGTTTGATGCAAAAGCTAACCTGATCACCAGCCTTGCCAGGTTTAAACTCTTCCAAGGCTTTCCTTTACCCTCGGACCCACAAGCCTCAGGGAGCCTCTCTCTCCAGTTTAATCTGCCTCATCACCGCCACCCCCCCCACCCCATTTTCTGCTTCCGCCTTTCTGTCCACTGTCATCTCTGTGTCCCAGCCCAGGTCTGTGCAGACATGGTGGTGGGGGGAGAGTTTGGCTTGTGAGTGGGGCTAGGACAGTGCAGGGAGCCCCAGGAAAGAGGGCGGGGCATATAAAGGTTGTCAGGGAGCTCTGACCCCAGCAAGATACCACTGTGTCCATGTCTGATAGGTGCCCGGGGGCCACCCATAGAAATCTGGGGGTAAAAGCAATGCCCCGAGAAGCAGACTGATAAGGAAGTTTAGCGTTAGTGTCCAGATCTAGTCTTATGTTTGTTTTCTAACCTACTATTTAATTGAGTCTCTACTCTGTGTCAGGTTCTAGGCTTAATCTAATTTAATTCTACCATAACCCTGAGAGGGAGAAATTTTTGTCATCCCATTTAGCAGATGCAGAAACTGAGGCTGGGGTGGTACAGTGATTGATTTAAACTAAGGCTAAAGATAAAATACAAATACAAAACGAACTCTGGACTTCCTGCGCCTGAAGGTAGGGTCTTCAGGAGACATACACTCGTGCGTTGAGTGAGATTTTCAGGGCTATGAGACCAGTTCAGTGCGGCCCTTCTTTGTCTCTCTGGGGCTTGGAACAGGGCTGGTTGACCTCCTCACCTGAGCACTGCCTCCAGGAATGTCTTTTCCTTGGGTTAGATATCACAGCCAGAGGCCATTGATTTGGGAAAATTCTGGAGAGGTTACTTGCTCCTTTAGCTGGGGGGAGAAATGAGAGCACAAGTGAGCAGGCTGATATGATGGTGGCATGGAAGGGGAGCAGGCCAGGCCCAGGCCAGGCCAGGCATGGGAAGGCCACAGAGGACAGAGGAGTAGGTGGGAAGGGAGGGACAAGCTGCTCCTTCCCTGTGTCACTGAAGATTGGTCTCACGGGCTCCGGAACCTCATTCTAACCCACCTTGAAGCGCCCCAAAACCTGGGGGTGTGTAGAACCATCAACACACCTTAGATCATGGAAAAGTGAAATAATTAAATACTAGGACCACAACATCATTTAATTCTAGAAACTTCATGTTCTGATGAAATGCAGGTTCTTGAAAGTATGGAGTTCTCACTCAAATCTTGAATCTTAGCAATTTGGAATCTTGTCTGTTGAGGTTGAACTGTTAAAAAACAAAAACAAAAAACTGGGAACTTTGGAGTCTGAAGTCATGGATCCACAAACTGTGCAGAAGCCCCTTGGAGATCGTTATTCATCACCCCCCCCCCTTATTTTGCAGGTGGGAAACTGAGGCTCAGGGGAGGCTAGAGTCTTCCTCAAGGTTCCACAGTGGGTTTATGATACTGGCGAGCTAGAGCCTGTGTGAGGACGGGGTTTGTGCTAGGACTCCAGGCACAGAGGACGCTGGGTAACTCTCCTCCCTCTGGGTTTTGGCCACCTTGGGTACTTACCTCCCTGGAGGAAGAAGGCGCTCCAGGCAACCCCACCCTTCCTTGTGACTTTCACCTGGCATGAGGGGTGGTTGCCAGACCCCATACATTCTCAGCTTCTGCCAGGTCTATTAGTAGGGCAAGGGCCTCTTTATCTGGGCATCAGCTGAGACACTGTCTCTGTCTTCATGCTCTAAGGGGATGGGGGTGGGGGTGGCAGTGAGCACAGGAGCCAGACTATGGGGTTGCCCCAAGGAAGGTGGGGCAGGGTTTCTTCAGCAACAAGGCTGAGACCTAAGGCCAGGGTGGTGTTGTAATCACCCGCTCCTGGGTGGGGGAAGGGACTGAGGAAGAAAGACAGTATTCAATCTTTGGAGAAGTGGGCTGGCTCCAACAAGCACCCCAGCTGGGTCTATCCTGCCCTCTCTGCCCGCAGAGGCGGACAGATAAACACAGCTCGTTTGATACAGGCCAGCTGGGGCCTGGATGGAAACTGCTGTCTGATCCTCCCCTCTTTATTTGGGGGTGTCTGGGCAGGGAATTAATGTTCCTACCATCACCAGAGACCACTAAGGCAAGGCTCAGAGATCATCATGACTACAGCCTCATATCCGTGTTCTGGGGAGTCTGAGAGGGAGGAAGAGCAGGAAGGCCACTTCCAGCTTCTTCCAAAGGAAGGGTTAAGATGGCCCATCAGCTCATCTTCTCTTGAGATGTGTGCACAGGGGCTGCGCCCCAGACCACCCTGGCAAGAGGGGATTCCTGCTTTGGTGACCACCCACCGCTACGAGGGCACTCCTCCACCCTCTGCCAGTCTGTGGGGTTGAAAGTGTAAAAGAATGACTCAGAAAGCATGAGATTCCAGGAAGGCATCGCTAGATTCTAGAGCAATAGGGGACTAGGAGAGAAAAATGAGGAATAGGGGATGGTGGCTGTCAGGGCAGAGAGAAGGACACTACAGGTCCTGAGATTGGGAGCTGAGTGACCGGAAAGGAATGGCATGGAGCCTGGAGTCCTGAGATTGAATCACTAGCCTGAGACCTTCCATGCAGCACTTGGTCTCTATGATCCTCGTTTTCTCATAGTTATACTAAATAATAATCCTAGCCACCCTGCAAGATCCACATTATTATCCACCCTGCAAATGACTGTTACCATTTTCTGGAAATAAATGATCATGTTTATCACAGGGTCATTGTTGCCGTAATTATCACAGCAGCTGTCAATTAGTGTCAGGATTGGACTAATGAAGCTCTTTAAAGCATTATCTAATTTAATTCTCAAAACAATAATGTGAATGAGATAATATAGTAATGTGTCAAGAGCTCAGCACAGAGAAGATAGTCAATAAATGTTGCTTCCTTTCTCTGTACTTTAATCTCACTTTGTCCAGTTGCGTTTGTGGACACCTACCTTGCGCTGGCCTCCCAGAACCCCCCCCTCAAGGTCATTCATTAGGTAATGGAGAGTTTTCCTACAGAATTGGTAGCATCCCTTCTGGATTTGCAGGTCACCAGGTAGCTGTGTGAGAGGATCAACAGGGACAGGCAGGAGGGAGGAGTAGGAGCCCAGGCAGCATCTGGGACCCTGGCTGGCACTAGGTGGTGAGAAGATGAGCCGTGAGGGCAGGCGTGTGCTCCAGAGCCGAGAGGCTGGCGACTGATGGTCCATGAGCCTTGAGTAAGAGGTGGTGGTTTCTCTAAGCCATATAAGGAAAGAAACAACTTTCTTTCCAATATGTAGACTTTCATCTACCTATTGACAGCACTAAACAGACCACACACAAAAGAAACAACTGATGAACATGACACACACGACAATCAATCGACTCTGCAAACACAGTAGGAGCGATGATCATTTTGAGGGTTTTTAAAATTCACGTTTCTAACAACCTTTCACAAGGTACCACTGTTTCCCCAATTCAAGCACTTTCCATCCTAACTCACTGAGACATAGACACACGGTTCAGGATGAAGACAGAAAAATCTTTGCTCAGAAGGTAGGTGACAGGACTTAGGGAGAGAAGGGGTGGTAGAGGGATGGGTGCCAAAATATCATTAAAAAAAAGGGGGGGAGGGTCAGGGGAAAAGAAGGAAGTGTGATTCTGCGGGCAGAAAGAGCACTGGACTGTGAGTCCAGAGAGGGGTTGTCACACCTGCCTGGTGATGCCTTGTACGACCTTAGCAGTATTATTTACCATCTCAGAATCTTCATCTAATCAGAACAAATAGCATTGACACCATAATTTAATCTGCAAGGCACTTTCACTGCTGGATCCCCTAACTGCCCCATATGTGAAGTGTTAAAGCTCAGAGAGGCATGGCGACATGCCAAAGCACACAGCAAAGCTGTGATAAGCCCACAGACGTTCTGCAATCCCGTTAGTTCTCTTTCCCCTGAATGGCCCAGAGGACATCCTTCTCAGAATCAGAAAGAAGGAAGGGTGAGGCCGGGTCTTTGGGCTGGAGCCCCCTGACAAAGCACTGCTTGGTTTGCCAGGCCCAGACATGTTCTGCCTTTTCCGTGGGAAGAGATACTCCCCCGGGGAGAGCTGGCACCCCTACTTGGAGCCTCAGGGCCTGATGTACTGCCTGCGCTGTACTTGCTCTAAGGTAGGTTCCTTCTGCCACCTCGCCTGGCAGGTAAGTCTGGGGCATTCCTGAAAAGTCTCCCCAGCATGAGAGGGTGGCCCGATTCCAGAGGTCAGGGGCATTCTAGAACAAGCCCCCTCTGCCAGGCGCAGCCCAGGGACTTGGGACCAAGCACCTTCACCACTGAGTTACCAGTGTACACCCCCACCCGTGTGCACTGCCCAGAGACGAACCCCAGCATGGCTCAGTGGCTGGGCTGCAGTGAAGGCCTCTTTCCCCGTCGCTGGCCCAGCCTCCCTGCCTCCCAAGTAGAAGACAGAGCCTTTCTGGCCTCTTCCCCCCTTCCTTCCTTTCCTTGTATGATTTCCCCCAGCCACCTCTTTTGCCACCTTTCCTTAGCATGTATTCTCCCAAAACCCCTGGTCTAAATACCTATCCCTCATGTCCACTCAAGTGCTACCTCCACCAGTAAATCTGGAACCCTCACCTGGAAGCATTTTCCTTTGGGACTCCACATAAGTTTCTGTCGCTTGCTGCTGATCACTGTCAGCCAGGTGGAGAAGTAACCTGTGTCTGTCAGTCAGTTACTGCCCCTCCTAGATGAATCCCCTGAGAACAGACCTTCCTGGAAGTATGCTGATGCCTACTTCAGTTCCTGTCAAAGGCTGGACCCACTGGGGAAGAGGCCACATGCTTTTGCTCACCTCTGTCTCTGCCACTCTACCTCAACCCAGCACCCTCCACAGGGCCTTATAAAATCAATGGGGTAGAATAAACGAGACCATCGTGTGGTCCCGTGCTCAGGACAGGGGGAAGGGTAGAGGGGTGGGGAGGAAGGGAGTGATGAGGAGCCTTGAAACACCCTTGGCTTTAGCTCAGCAGCCTGGGCCCAGCCTGGTTGGTGTGATGTCCTCAGCTTTCTCTGTCCACACACTGGTGCCTGGGGAGAAGCGGTACCTAGCGTCCAGCTGGACTAGCAGCTTGGCTCCTCTGTTTCCCTGCACAAAGCCAAGAGAGGAAAGCAGAAGGCCTGTAAGAGCCTCCCATATTAAAACAATCCTCGGGGAGGGAGCAGAGGTCCTGGGGAGACACTGGGAGGTGGAAGGCTTGGCCAGCCCCCTTCCTGCCTTGAACGCTTGGGTTTCACTCCCGAGGTCATTCTACCTGACTGCCACATTGGCGCCCCCATAGAACGGTGACACTGATGGGTACAAAGCCCCCTCCCACTGCCTCCCCCTTGGTTTTCCTTAGCACATCTGAGGCCAATCAGCCTTCCCAAAAAGAGCTTTAGGAAATATAGCCAAAGAACAAAAAGGAAACCATAACAGAAAATTCCAGACATATCATGCTGTCCAGTTGACAAAGTCCAAGTTCTGTGATGCACTGGAGCAAATTCATTTCTCCCTCTCCAGAGTTCACACATGCAGTTTCCTGGACCCAAGGGGCTGTTGCCGATGAACCTCTCTCTGTCTTGCCATCACTGGCCCCCAACCTAGTCCCTTCATCTCATCTGTCACCTGGCTGCTACACCAACCTCCAGGCAGGTCTCTCTGTGTCCCTCTGAATTCACCTTCTGCACAGCAGCTACAATGATCTTCCAGAACATAAAACTCGTGTCATTAAAAGCCGCCTTCAAGGAAGACACAAAATTCCTTGCTGGGGGTGCTGGGGCTCCTGACTCCCCAGGAGAGCTAGAGTAGCTTCACACTTCCCCTTGTGCCTTCAGCCCAACCTCATTTCCTTCTTGCACCAACACTTCAAATTCATTCCTACTTGTTGCTTCTCCATCTAGAATGTTCTTCCCCCAGATCTTCTCACAAACAATTCCTTCTCATCTTGTGGTCCACAACCTGTTACCTCCAACAGTCTAACCTTGTTAGCTTAATCAGGGTACTGCTTGATTATTATCATAAATCTGAAATGGTTTCCTTCCAACTTGTTTATTATTTTAGTTTATCTCCTGCTGCTACAGTGTGAGCTCCCTGCAAGCAGAAAGTTTATAGCCCTCACTTATTAGTGGCCCCAGTGCGCAGAAGAGGGCCTGGCACCCCTGGTCCTGTAGTAAATATTGAGTGAACAAATTATCTCTCCCCCCTCCCCTCACACAGACACACACACACACACACACACACACACACACACTCATTCACTCACCCCATTTCCTGCCTCCTCCAAGGCTGGAATCCAGAAAGGGATTTCACAGCTTCAGGCCACACACTTCCTCACAGTCCACCCTAGTTTCTCATCTGAGGAGCTGAGTCCACCCCTAGAGTTACTAAGCACCCATCTGTGCTGGGTCTCCAAAGGCTCCGAGAGCTTGGGCAGACTCTGAGGACTCTAGGATGCCTTTTAGCACAACGGAGGTCTCATGATCACCACTGGCTGTCTTGGGAATCAGTGACCCCAGAAAGCTCAAAGCCTGACATTGAGTTTTCCCTGAGGCAAGAGGTTGCCTTGGAGAGAAATGCTGTTGGGACACTTACATGGGCAGGGGGGGCTGGAGACATACTCGCCTGACCCAAAGTTTGAACAAAACCGGCTCCATCCATCTAAGAGAGCGATCATCTCTCCCTCTCTGTGGGTTGCCATTCATCCACTCCTTCATTCATTGAGACTTTAGCAGAGAGTCACTTGGAGCAAGGCCCTGTGCTGACAATCCAGAGACAGACCAAAGGCGGTTTGGTTCTTGTTCTTTGTGTTTAAACAGATAAGATAGACGGATGTCAATGGCCCATCACAACCAGTGTGTTGACCACGTAACAGGAGGAAGAGTAAGGACCAGGAAGCCCAGGACAGGCCGACAAACTCTGTCTGGCCAGATGGGGAAACCTCCAGGGGGGCTGATGGCGTCGCTCCAGCTCCTGTTTCTGCTCATCTTTCTCTGTGTGTCTGGCCCCACTGACATCGCTGTCTTTCTCTGACGCCAGCTCCGAAGGCTTTGTGTAGAACCACCCAGACCCCCTGGAGCCTCAGGGGGTGCAGCACAGAACCCCCAGACCTCTTCTCCTTAGCTTCCTAGCCATGTCCCCAGCTCTGTCTCCCGTTCTCATGTGTCACATTCCTCTTTGAACTATGAGGCTCCAACCCAGAGCTGAAAGAAAAGCGCTGGAGTAAAAATAGCGCAGTCAAGATCAATGTCAAAATAGCTTGATCCTTTCACTTGTATTTCTCAAACTCCACGAGGGGACATGAAGTCTGCAAAAATCCACACACACTGCCCTCCTCTGTGGCGGGGCAAGGACGTGGGTGTCGTGTCACACTGTGAGCAGGGGTGGGAGAGGTTGGACATACACAGTGTATAGCTTTTAACCCACTGTGGACTTTAAACAAGCAGAGCCTGCAGGTGGTGCGGGTTCGGGGGGAGGCGGGGGAAGTTGGAGGAGCAGATTCAGATGGGAGGCAGCGGCTGTTTGGAACCGCGACTGACCTCTCTGTCCCTGTCAGAGTGCCCATGTGAGCTGTTACCGCCTCCACTGCCCTCCTGTCCACTGCCCGCAGCCTGTGACCGAGCCACAGCAGTGCTGCCCCCGGTGTGCGGGTAAGTAGCTTGGTGGCCTCCCTGCCAGCAGCCATCCTCTTCCGCACTGACCTTTATTCCACCCCCGACACAGATCCCTGGCTGAGGGCATTCCCTGGATGCCACCCATCAGAGGTGTTGAGACACAAAGATATTGGGGGGAAACACCCTGGATCCCCAGGGGAACTGAGAGAGCAGCAAACCCCTCATTCCTAAGTTCTCTGCTGGGTCAAGGTGGAGGAAATCTGGAAAGTAGCTGGAGAAAATTGGGGTGTGCTCGACTCCAGTCTCTGCCCAGAGCCAGAGAGAACAGACATGCCTGTTAAGCAGGTGGGGGTGGTGCTGGGAGGCCCCACAGAGAGACCCCAGTGTGAGTGTCTGGGGTGAGAGTGCTCAAAGTTGGGGTGTAGGACTCAGATTCCTTCCAGCCTCAGGTTTAGGAACTTGATGTGTTCTGATGTAGAAAGTCTGTGGTCTCCTGATTTCACCATTCCAAGAGTCCCTGAGACTGGGATTCTAGGAACTAAAGGTAAGAGGCTCCTCAGAAGAAAGTGGCAAAACCAGTGGACCAGGCAGCCCGTGGGGACCTCACCTCAGAAGCTGAGAGGTGGAGAGGAGAGTTGAGTTTAGAAGCATCAAGGTGATGAATGGATGCACATTCATGCATTTGTTCACTCATTCACTCACTCACTCATTCATTCATTGTGGCTATAGCTTCAGGCTGTGGGACCAGGGTCCTCCCGGTGAGCTGGGAGCCCATGCGGAGTGAGAGTGCAAAGGGCCCACATTCCAAGTGGGACCCCTGAAGGCCTCTAACCATGGCCCCCACTTACATCATGGGGTTCCTGGCTCTGGGTCCCCCGGGTAGCAGGAACAGCGGCTCTGAGTGTCGCCCTGCCCTGAAAGGGGCACCGTGTCTCCATCCTGTCTGGGGCTGGCCCACAAGTCCTGAGCGGGCACTGACTGGCTAGGCCTCTCCTCGCGTGCCCTGAAGTCCCTCCCTCTCCGTGCCCTGTACCTTTGCCTGTCTGACTCTGTATGTTCTTCTGACTCAGCTCAGCCATCAGCCCCTACAGGAACTCTTCCCTGACAATCCCACCCCCACCTGAGTGAGAGGCATCTCCTCTGTGTGCCACACTGTGCTTAGAGCGGCCCTAACCCTGCACCGGACAGTCCTCCGCGTGTGGCTTGCCTCTGTCCAATGAGGGTGTGAGTTTCTTGATGGGAGGGGCCAAGTCTTACTGGGCACTTTGTTTCCAGTGTGTAGCATGGTGTCTGGCACACAGAAGATGCTCAGTAAAGGTGTCATGAGGCCTGGAGGTTTACCCGTCTACCTAGCAGGAGGAGAATCGGTTAATTACAGGTGGTGGGGAGGAGGAGTCTGGTGGCATGTGAGTGGCAAGAGGTGACTCCCAGGTCATCCGAGGTGACCCCACTAGGGTACAACTCCATGGAGAACTTTGTTTGGCCGTGTGCCCAGCACCTGGTGCTAGGATGTACTCCACGGACACCCCCGGATGGTGGGTGAACTAGGACAGGTCCCTGCTGCGGGGAGCTCAGTGGATCTGAGGCTTCTGGCCAAGCCTTTTGCTCTGTCATGATCAGTTCAGACCCTGAGGGGCTGAAAGGCTATGTGGGGAGCCATGGGAGAGGGGCACATGACCACAGGTAGGTATGAGGGGAACCTCTTGGTTAGCCAGCGTGGGCACTGGTTGGGCAGGCTGAACACAGGGCTCAGTGTAAATGGCACGGTGGGATACAATACAACATCTTCAGGAAAGTGGCCCGGCGAATTGGGGCAAAGCTTTTGATCCACATGGAGGCTCATGTTCTTCTTCCTCCTGCCCCTCCCCACCTGCAGAACCTCACACCCCCTCTGGGCTCCGGGCCCCCCCAAAGTCCTGCCAACACAACGGGACCATGTACCAACACGGAGAGATCTTCAGTGCCCATGAGCTGTTTCCAGCCCGTCTGCCCAACCAGTGTGTCCTCTGCAGCTGTACCGTAAGACTTCTGCCTGCTCCCCTAAGTCCAAGCTGAAGTGGTGCAGGCTGGGGAGAAGTTGCTCCCCCTGGTCACAGCAAAGTGAGAATGAATGGGCTGAGGGGAAGGTGAGCTCTGGGGGTTTGTCCCTCCTGCTCCTCTGCATGCTCTGAGCTGCCTGCCAGCTGCACCCAGGGCCTCGTGCTGGCGTGCCCACTGTAGCCTCTGCCCTCCTGGAGAGGAGGGACACACAACTCATTTTTCTATGCCCCGGGATTCCCTGCCCAGAGCCTGGTGCTCAGAGGACAGGGTGTATAAACATTGTTGAATGAATGAGTGAGTGAGGAGTGAATGATCAGTTATCAGTCCTGGGGCACAGAGACAGACCAACTGCTTTTAGCAAATGTCGTTTAACATGAAGCTGCTAAAACTCCCCGAGCTGTATTCAGAGTGGAGTCTGGTGATAAGCAGGGCTGACTGCGATGAAAGCCAAGTGGGGCCTGACCTGGAAAAACTTTCACCACCAGGCTCCTAGGAGCAGGGGGGCTTCTAGGACCAGCCCCTCTGATGTCAGCCTTGCCCTGGGGGTTAGCCCCTCTTGATGGCCTTCCTACCTGATCATCAGATTTCTCCGTTTCTCTGAGTGCTTGAGGGAGTCTGGGTGATCTCCAGTGGCCTCTCTCTTTAAGCCAATAATTCAATGCAGCAGTAATGGAAGAGTAAGAGGGGTAGTAGCCAGCTGTAGAACACCCTTGTTCGCCTCCGGTTCTGTCATGGTTCTCTGGGGGACCTTGAGTGACTCACTTCTCTCCAGCCTGCCTCCTGTTCCTGTGAGTCTGAGGCTTGCACACTAAAGTGTCTGTGCTGCAGAACAAACAGCCTTCAAATAACAAGGGATAATCACTTATTAATCAACCTCGTGGTTATTTTTTCAGAGGCTGAGCCCTTTACAGTGGGCAGCCACACTGTGCCTACAGGTTCATAGACATGCTTTCCTTATGTACAGCATGCTGGTGACCCTAGGAGGAAAAAAATCTCTGTTCTTATTTTTCAGATGAAGAAACAGGCTCAGAGCAGTTAAGCAACTTGCCTAGGGTGGCACAGCTCATTCGGTGGCAGAAGCAGGTTGCAGGCCAAGGGCTACATGACTAACTCCCATGTTCTTCCCCTGCACGATGCTGCTTCGATACAGGGATGAGGGGCTGGGTTGAGAGGGGGCTTTGGGGGGGACGGAAATGCCAGTGCTAGGGTGGTGAGTGCACTTTTGTGATTCCTTGTCCCTGGATCTTGTGCCTGTCTTTTTATCCCTGTTTATAGGGGGCCAACTGGACTCCCAGTCTCATCTCAAAGATTAGAATTCGTACTTTTGAGATTCATTGGAAAAAGAATAGGGCAAGGGCTCCGTGCAATGCCACCTCCTCCCAGGTAGACTGCGCATTAGGATACTCACGATCATTCCTTCGCTTGATCTTCATGAGCTAGATAGGAGTTCCCATTTCAGAGGAGGAAACTGAGGCCCAGAGAAGAGAAGGGGCCCGTCAAAGGTCGTCGACCACTGACTCAGAGCACATTGTACCTACAGGTACATAGACATGCTTCCCTTATATACAGCATGCCGGTGACCCTAGGAGGAAAAAAAACCACTATTCTTATTTTTCAGATGAAGAAACAGGCTCAGAGCAGTTAAGCAACTTGCCTAAGGTGCTCTCTCCTGAAGCCCACAGAGCAGGCCTTCTCCCCTGAAGCCTAGGCGAGGGTTTCCACTAAACGCAGCATGAACCCCAGGTGTTTCACCCTCCCCTGGGCTGGCTCCAGGGCCTGGGCAGAGGAGAAACATGTTGGTTTAAGTAGGAAAAGCCTGAAGACTGGACCATGGTCCTGTCTGCCTGACTGCATCTTGACCTTGGGCTCTTCCCATCCACCTCACCGATTGCCATGACAGCCTAGGGAGAGGCTGGTGTGAAAACAGGGTGGAGCTGAAGGCTGAATGCCACCTCAGGGCTGGCAGTGGGGGTGGGGAGGCACAGGAGACAGGCCCTCTGGGTCCCTGGTCCTTGCCAAGGATGCTCTGCTGCTCCTTTCCTCCTCTACTGCAGAGACCTCAAGACCATTTGTTTCCAGCAGGGGGCTTGTTTCCCAAGGTGCTCCTCAGGGCAGGCTGCCCTCACAGCCCAAGGCTGTCCCCAGACCGTTCATCTCCTGGTTTCTGTGTGCTTTGTCTGTCAGGAGGGCCAGATCTACTGCGGCCTCATGACCTGTCCGGAGCCAGGCTGCCCCCCACCTCTCCCGATGCCTGCATCCTGCTGTCAAGCCTGTAGAGGTGAGTGTGTCTCTAGACCTGGCCGAGCTCCCCCGACCCCTCAACCTGGCCGTGAACCACTAGAGTGGGAAGCTCAGGGACACTTAGCAAACAGCCTTCCCTCAAGAGGAATAGCTTAGCCTGCCTTCCCCTGCCCAACCACCCCCCCCACCACCACCAAGAAAAACTGAGCCTGAGAGAGATACTGATTTGCACTTAATTTTAATTGCAACCCTAAGGACTAGGAAGGAGGAAAGAAAGGGAGGTCTAAAGCAGGACAGGAGGAAGAAGCAATCCAAAAAGTGTTGGGAAACTAACCTCTACTTAAAATAAACCTCTGTGTAACCTAAGTCTCTAAGTTTTCTTCTGCTTCTCAGAAAAGTCGTAGGGAAAAACAAGTTTCGTCCACCAGTCACCAACTCCCATTGTTCAAAGGTTCACCCCAAAGACGGCAATTCCCTCACACTTCCTTCTTGTGCAGGCATGTTGGGGGTGAAGCAGCTTTGCCGGCAGGAGGCAGCAGTGGGGTCAGGTAGGAAGCAGGGCCCAGGAGGCATGGGCAGGTGGTAGACTGAGCCGACCAGAGTCAGCTGGCTCCAGAGGTGCAGGGCTTGAGTGTGCAACGGAGCCCCATAACCACATGAGGCTGAAATGACCCGAAGAGGGGGCTGTACCCCCTCTCCTCTTATCTCTCCCAAAACATAGCTGGGCATGGGTCTGGGCTCACTAAAGCTCACGGTATCTGTGTTAAGCAGAATCCAGGTAGAATCTCTGTTCAGAGCAGGAGAGGCCAACATACCAGCCAGTGAAAGGCAAAAGGCTGGAGTAGAATAACTGTGCAGATAGTCAGACTGTTCCCTGGGAGCTATGGTAGTCCAAGAAAGCTTCCCAGAGAAGGCAAGACTGGCAGAGACAAGTGTTCTACCATAGAATGCTTCCCCAGATGCTGGCATCATAGAAGGGCCTTGGACCAGGTGACTCCAATTTAGTCTTGGTTCTTCCAGTTAATTCCTGCAGGTTCCTTCCTGCTCTGGGCCTCAGTTGTACTGTGTGTGCCCTGAGAGGTTGGCCTCAGTGATTTCTAATAGACAGCACTTGGGTCTTTGAACTAGGAGTGCTCAGTGGGAGCCAGACTGTATGTGAGGCAGAGGCTATGGAGAGAACCCCATTTAGAGTCTTAGGAAACTGTAGGGCTCCAGGGACTTTATGTGGTACCCCAGGAAGTGGAGGAGTCCTTAGGTATTTTAGCTGGAAAGGGGTCCCTCCGTGCATACTGTAAAGCAAGGCCTGGTGACGCCACATGTGGCATGCACAGTGACTCCCCAGGGACCTGCAGCTCAGAAGACTGCAGGGATGAGACTCAGGAGCCTTGGACGAGCCACGACAGCCACTGAGCAAGATGCCCTGGCCCAGTCAGGCAGTTCAGTCCTAACGGTGGCGAGGTCAGTGGGGGAGAAACTGAAGCAGCAGGGTCTTTGTCAACCCAAGAGTGAGGAGACACTGTAATGAGAAGTGGGACTAGGTCCTCACTGGGGCAGAGGGACCTGCTGAAAATTGAGGGCTGCAGATGGAGCACTGGGCCTTGAAGGGGCTGAGGCTCTCAGGTCTGCAGAGCTCTGAGCCACGAGACTGAGGAGGTGGAGGCTCACCTGACTTCCCCTTGGGTTTCCAGATGGATCAAGTGAGAAACCCGCCGAAGAGGTCACCACACAGTCACACCATGGGGTGGTGAGTGCGCACCTTTATCTGTTGGGGGGGGGGGCTGTGAGGAAAGGGGCTGAACTCTCCGAGATTCTGGAATAGGCCATGCCCGTTACTGTCTTTCATTTCTTCTGTGTTCCCCAGGCCAGCGCCATTAGCCCCTGCCTGCCCCGGTCCCTCTCCCAAGCCTCCCACCATGGTCCCCATGGTGGCTGATGCGTAAGGAGGGGCCTAGAAACAAGCGCCACACAGGGGAGGAGCAGGCCCCAAACTTCCTGACTTCCCTCCTGGAAAACTCTGGCACTGTTCCACTGGCAGCCTGTGTCCCCACTCAGGTTGCCCAGGGCAGCGTGGCCCCACCCAGCTCAGCTCAGGGGGTACTGGAGGCTACTTCTCTGTTCTTCCCTCTGTCGTGGCTCCTCTGGCTCTTGGTCTAGAGTCGAGGTAGGCTTCACTGTCCAGCTGTCTCTGGTTGGACAAGAAAGATGTGGGAGAATGGGCTGGACGCTTAGTCAGGTCCCAGCCCCAGCACCTGTCCTCAAAGTGAACGTCTCCTCCCTCCTCCTGAGTTCCCAGTCTGGGTCGTCAGGACCCCGGGAACTGCAGTCTGGGCTCCCCTTGCCAGAGGCTTCCCGGGAGTCCGAACTAATGACCTCTCCCTCCTCCTCTACCAGCTCATCCTCCCTTTCCAGGCTGGGCCTTCTCCAGTGGGGCCTGTGCCCAGAAGCACGAGCCATCCCCCTCTCCCTCCTCCTCAGGGAACAGCGTGCTAACGAAACCCACCCAGGCTGGGTTGCAGGCCCTGAGCAGCTACTGACTGACTGACTGAGGGATGTGGGCAAGTCACCATTGAGGGTAGACCCTTCAGTTCCTTCTTGCCTCTGTTCCCACCTGACAAGCCTCTTGTGTCTGTTATTGGGGCCTGGGACAGTTTCCACCCGGGAGCTCTTGTGGACTCAAACTCCAGGTTCCAGACCATCAGAGGACTGACTGAGATTGGCCAGAGGAGGAAGAGGCCATGGAAGGAATGTCAGTGACCTAAGTCAGCGAGAGGTGTGATGAGCTCTGCTCTTCACCCCCCATCACACCTGCTTCTCTCCCATGGCCTGGAGCTCCTAATCCTCAAACATAATTTCAAACTCTCAGGAAACCCCCATCGGGCTGGATTTCCCACACACCCTCTGCTATTACTGCCGGCACTTTCTGGAGGGACAGTGTCCTGGGATCTTGGACTCCAAGAGCTCTGGAAAGAGGGGGCCAAACTCAGAGATGCTTTGTCTCCTGATGGGCCCTGCTCCTGGTTTTCCTGCACCATGGGATTCTGGGGCCTGGCGAGACTCGCAGAGGCCCACCCCCTTGTCTCATCACCTGAGTCTCCTCAGAACAAGAGATTTCTATCTCATCTGCACTGCAGTCTCATCTTCTGTTTCTTCTTCTTCTTATTATTATTAAAAATTTTATTTATTTCTGCATACAAAACTGGGGTACAGGCCAGAGGTGTAGGGGCGGCGAGAGGATTCACCAGAGACAGAGTGGGAAGCAGAGCAGGCAAATGGACAAAGTACACTGCTGAGGGGAGCAGCGGGTGGGTCAGGAGAGGTCTGCCACGCCATGTGGGTCACCAACCTGGGCTGGGGATTGAACTTATGCTGAAGCGGTTGTGGTTGACTCCGTAGCGCTGCGCTTTAATCCACTGCGCCACACCAGGGAAGGCCCTCATCTTCTGTTTCTTAACTATTAAGTTCTCCAGGTTCCTGATCACGTATGTGTCTTCCAGATCAGGAGCTTAGCCCTGTTCGGCCCTGAGGCCATGCTTGTGATAAGCCTGAGAAGGCTTGCTGGAAACTGGATTTCCAAATCTAAGAATTTTCAAAAATGAAAGCTTTCAAACATCTCAGACCCCATCTGGGTCTTCCTGTTCCGAGCCTGTGCCCTTTCCTCACTGGGAAGTCGCCAAGTATCCACCCTCAGGTTTTGCCTTCGACCTCTCCCTTGCTGCTCCCTTCTAGGGAGGGGTCCTCAGTGATACTCACCCTTCTTGCCATTTGCAGAGACATCCACAGGACTCATGTACTGGTGACGGTGGGAGGAAGGGAGGCCTGAGCACCCCAGCCCCCACTGAGCTCAGCAACCCCGGGGGCTTCATCCCTCGCCACTTCCGACTGAATGGGGCAGGCAGCACGACAGTAAAGATTGTTCTGAAGGAGAAACACAAGAAAGGTGCGAAGTGGGACCTCCTGTGGTGTGGGAAAGGGGGCCGGGTTGCACCCACCTCCCATCCCTGCATCCCCCCGCTCAGTGGTTTCCCAATTTCAACCTGGCCATGAGCTTCGAGACTCAGAAAATGAAAACTGAAATTGCCCTTAAAGGACATTAGCGATAAACCCCATTTGACAGAGATGAGGGCGCTGAGGCTTGGAACACCGAGTTAGAGACAGAACCTGTCCTGGGATCACGGCTAAGGCCACTATGAAAATAACTTTTTGAGTATCTGTCAGGTCTTTGCTGTGAATCAAGGGGCACAAAACAGAGAAATGAAAATGGCCCCTGTCTGTGAGGGGCTCCTAGCTCCTAGCAGGGGAGACCGACGTGTAAATAAACTAGAGGGAGTCGAAAGGAGAGTTTCTAACAGAGGAAGCCAGACTAGGGCTGGTCCCTATAGCCAGGCTATAGGAGCAGGGATGGAGGCCCAGGAGGGAGGCCGAGGGGGAGGCAGATGGAGCTGCAGGACACCCTGCTGACAGTGTGGGAAGAAGGGGCCTATCAGACGGCTGGATAGTGATAACCTCAGCTCAGTCCTCCTCTGCCAGTCTAGCCTTCTCCTTGTCCCCAGAGCTGACCCAACAGGCAGAGAACTTACTAGGCTTACCTCAGTGCAGAGATGGGACTGGGGGGGGGGGTGGGGGGCGGGGGGAATGGGCTGGTGGTGGCGGTAGGCAACTTTATGTCCTGACCTCCAATTTGCAGGCAGTGTGACTGGACCACACTGATGGAGTGGGGGGGGGGGCGCTTCCCGAGATACCCCCTCCATTATCGGGCTTGACCTGCGGGCCAGGCTCTGACCCGCCTCCTTCCTTGCTCTCCTTGGCCCAGCCTGTGTGCATGGTGGCAAGACATACTCCCACGGGGAAGTGTGGCACCCAGCCTTCCGCTCCTTCGGACCCTTGCCCTGTATCCTGTGTACCTGCCAGGACGGCCGCCAGGACTGCCAGCGGGTCACCTGCCCCACAGAGTATCCCTGCCATCACCCCGAGAAAGTGGCCGGAAAGTGCTGCAAGATTTGCCCAGGTACAGTGACCGTGCTGGGGGCAGGGAGGACAGTGGCCAGAGCGAGCCCTCAGTCTAGGGCCTATCTCCCCCCAACCCCTGGGCGTAGACCCTGGGAAACTCTCCGACACGGATGGAGTATGGACTCCACGCCACAGGATGCAGGGGCTTGAGAAGTGCAGGTGTCAGAAGCACGAGAGTGGGATATGCCAGGCTCAAAAAATATCAGACCGTGGAACTATCTAGTGTACAGGGACCGATTCAGGGACTCAGATAATGATCCGGATTCTATGAAGCTATAAAAACCTTAGGACATTGGGACTTAAAGGGGACTACTGAGTGTTTATTAACCACTTGTCATGTGCCGGGGGGTGTATGGTATGTAGATTCATGTCTTCCTCACCAGAATGGACACAGCAGGTATCTTTATCTCTATTTTCAGAATGAGAAGGTCAGTCTTTGCCCCAGGTCACACATCAGTGACAGTCCTGGGATCTGAATTTGTCTGCCTGATTCCAAAGTCAGTGCTTTGACCATGACTGCCTTCCTTTCGCCCTTATCTACACGTGGGAAAACTGAGACCCAATGAAGAGAAGGGACTTTCCTAAGTCACGTACGAAAGTTGTTGAGGTGCTGGAAGCCAGAATTCAGGCTTCCAGACCAGCCGGCTGAGTTCTTTCAGTGGTATCGTGTGAGGCGGGATTAAAGAGTGTGAAGACAGCAGAATGCAGTGCTGAGAAGAGCTGCCAGTGGTTGTCAAGGGTAGCTGTGGAGGGTCAGGCCCACTCTCTCAGGCCTGGAAGGCAGGTCGGCCTGAAGGCGAGGCCCCATTACAGGCCTGGGTTGGCAACACTGAGAGGAGAGGAACAGGGAAGAAACAGGGGCAGGAAACATGAATTGGAAGCTATTACATACTAGGTATTTTACTGTGATTTCCCATCTTGCGTTTAGTGTCCCCTACTCAGCTAATTCTGAAGTGAGATGACTGAGTGACTTCATCTCCACCTACCCCAGAATTTAAAGTCAGGACATTTAAGTTTGTGTTAGCTGACTGACTGACTGACCTAAATTTCTGTTAGGATCTTATGAAGTGACTGTGTCTTTCTAAGTCTCTGACACAGAATTGATGAAATGTTTTATGAATTGTAAGCCAAAAATTCAAACATAAGGTAACTATTATTTATCAGAGTAATAAGCTGTTGGGTTTGGGTCAGGGAGGGCGCCTGGTAGGGTGGGGTCTGGAAAGCATAAGGGCTGGGTTCAATGTGAATTCTCTTTTAGACTAACTGAGCCTCACTCCGGCTCTTTTACACATGGTCTGGGCTCTGCCGCCAGACCCCAGCCCACTTCCTCTTAAAAATACCGAGACTCTATACTTAGAGTTCTTTTATCTTGAAGGGCTTCTTAACTAGTAAGACTCCAGAAACTGAAGGGTTATAGTAAGGTGTAGAGGGACCTGGTCCTTCAGTCCTTGAAAAATTGTCAGGGAATATTGGTACACAGAAAGTTCTGGAGCATGTCCTTAGAATTCCAGCATGTCAGGTCTTTTGGAGTGGGTCCAATTTACTGTCAAAAGCATCGCCACCATTCTCCCATTCCATCACCACCACAACCCCACCCCACAACGGTGGCCTTTACCACCATCACCACTGGGCCTCTTCCACCCTCATCATCGCCATGACTGCCTCAACCACTCCCAAACTTGTCATTTTATGGGTTCATGGAGAGCCTGCACTTGGTGGTGTGAGTGACACAAAAGATTTGGAGGACATACTTCCTGTCCTTCACCTTGTGGATCTCTTTTAGAAGAAACGTACCCAGTTGAAACAATAACAAGGCAGTGTGGGATCAAGGGCATGAGTGGGAGGCTAGAAGGATTTTAAAGGCTGTGGGTGGGAGAAAACAGGGTAAACTGAACTGTCCCAGGAGGGCTGCCTGGAGGAAGTGGAAGGTAAGTGCCCCTGAAAGATGAGCAGTTTTCTGATATGCTCTTTGTTCCCCAAAAATGGGCACCAGAGGTCTGTAGCATCTCTGGGGCGGGGGAGGGTTGACAGAGCAGTGGCCCCTCTTTCTGGGTCTAATAGGTGTGGAAAGACAGAGCACTCACGAGCTCCTTGTCTCTCCCAGAGGACAAGGCAGACTCTGACCACAGTGAGGTCAGTGGTACCAGGTGTCCGAAGGCTCCAGGTCGGGTCCTTATCCACACATCAGTATCTCCAAGCCCTGACAACCTGCACCGCCTTGCCCTGGAGCATGAGACCTCTGAGCAGATGGAAATCTATCTTTGGAAGCTGGTGAAAGGTGAGCCTTGCAGTGATTCTGTGGTCGGCTGACAGTTCTGATAAGCTCACCCAGCAGTGAGACCGGTGTCTCGAAGTGCGCCCTCTCCTGGGGGAGGTGGTTGTTGCACCTTGCGAGGAGTCTATAGACAGTAAAAATCCCCAGCACTCTGTGAGGGGAAATGTTTTCAGGCCGAAGGCCTCCAAGCATTTTCAGAGCAGGAAAGCCAGGGGATTAGTCCCCTTCGGCCTTTTTTTTTTTTTTTTTTGTGGTGCATTCTGTCATTCCAGGCTACACAAACACCAAAAATAGTTCTCCTTCTGTGAGAAACTCACCCACTTCAACAGGTTACTCAAACCACCAACTGAAGACCAAGAGTTTTCATTGATAAGGGGATTGCTGAGAGTTGGGTTTTAAGTAAACCCTGACATGAGCCCTTTTTGTATGAATTAGTTCTAAGGTCACTTGCTGCTTCTGCTGGGTGTGGCTGGGAAGGGGTGTGGAAGAAGGGTTGATGAGAATGATGATAATGATAACAAGCAATGTGTGAAGCACTTTAGAGTTTACAAAGTGCTTTCACATTCATTACCTTATTTGATCCTCAAGGATCCTGAGAGGTAGGTATTATTATCCCCATTTTACAGATGAGGAAACTGAGGCTCAGAGAGGTGAAGTACCTGTCCCAAGGCCACACAGCCAGTAAGTGGAGGACGGGCGCTAGAGCCCATGTCTTGTGACGTCAGATGCGGCTCTTTCCCTGCACTACTCTGCCCCTGCCGTGGGAGGAATGGACGAAGAGAGCGGAGCTGTTCAGCCCGGAGAAGAGAAGACTCAGGGGAACAGGACCGCTGGCTTCTTGCCTCTGAAGAACTGCCCCAGGCAGAGGGAGCAGTTGTGTTCTGAGTAACCACAAGGACCAGAGCAATGAGCAGGGGCTTTGGAATCAGACAGACCTGGGTTTGAATCCTGGCTCTGCCAATTGTTAAGCTGTGTGGCCTTGGGCAATCACTTGGCCTCTCTGGGCATCAGTTTTCTCTTCTGTTAATTGAGTAGGAGAGTTTTTGGAGGAGTAAATGAAATAATATAGGTACAACCCCTGGCCTCTCATAGGTGCTAAAAATGCTACTACTCACCCCACATCAACAGGCAGACTTGCGAGAAGCAGTTTTCAGGCAGTGAACTTTCTTGGAAGGGAGGGAGTAAGCGCCATTCCCAGAAGTGTGTAGGTGGGGGCTGGGTGGGTGTTCTGCCCTATCTGGGCAGGCAGTCAGAAACCCTTATTTTCGTTGTGAGCCTTGCAGTTCTTCTTGCCCCTGGACAGGAGCTCACTGTGTTTACCCAGGGGGGGGGGGAAGGTCCGCATCCTCTCCCCCATGTGCTGGGACCACAGAGAGCAAAGGTCCCAGTCTCTGCCCTTAGTAGCTCATGGCTTAGTGGTCTGAATAAGCAAGTGCTCCCTGGGAGCACAGCCCACAGGGAAGGTTCTATGGAGGATGGGTCCGGGGCTTAGAAGACTTGGAAAAGCAAGAGGCGCCCATCTTGGCAGGGCAGTGGCAACAACTCAGACTCTGGCTCCAGAACCCACACTTCACCCCTGTGTGCTGCATAGCCGGCACAATGTGTAAAGTGCTTCTTTTAATCCATACAAGAAACAGGGGTACGTATGAGGCCCCATTTGGCACATAGGAAAACTGAGCCTGAGAAGTAAAATGACTTGCTCAAAGTCACACAGTTTAAGCCATAAAACAAAGCTTCAAACCCAGGTCTGACCATCCCCAGTGCTGGCTCCACAGAGAGAACCTTATGTTTTAGAAAGGCCAACGTGTGCCCAGAATGGCACAGAGGGGGGTGTCATGGTCAAGGTCAGTTTCATTACCACCAGATTCCACAGAAAAGGGATAAGGTGGAGAGGACCCTTCAGCTCCTCATTGCCAGGCCCTACCGTCCTGTCATCTCCTGACCCCCTGGGTGGCCTAAATGCCCCTCCGCTTCCCCATTGCCTCCCTGTCCCAGACCATGGAGGTCAATGTCTGATTGGAAGCTCTCACTGTCTCTTCACCCAGAGGAGATGAAACATTGGGAGAGGGAGGGGAACCTGGCGTGGCCTGGAAGACAGCGAGCAGATAGATGCTGCAAGCTGGGCTAAGTGGGGTCTGGCCACACTGAGGCCAACCCCAGGCACCAGAAACTGAGCAGAGTTGGACTAGAATCAGGGCCTCTTAGATTCTGGAGTTTCAGCATAGAAGAGGCCCAACCCCTCCCTGGGACAGAAGTCCTCCTGCAGCTCCCTGGTGGTCTCTAGCCACACCCACACCTGACACCCACATCCAAACAGGAGATTCACTTCCAAAATGGTGAGTGGTGAATGCCCCACCCAGAGTGTTAAGACTGTGCTGTCTCCTGCACCCACGGTGCCACCTCTTCCCTGGGGGCAGAGTGCAGACCTGCACACCCTTCCAAGGGCCAGTGCATGATCATGACCTTCAGGCTAGCTCTTGATTTCCAACCCAAGAGTCTGGTACTGTGAATCATGATTTATAGGCCACAGTGTGGGGGCCCCTCATCCCTATTGCCTTCTCCAGTTTGTGTTCTGGGATTGTGCAGTGGCTGGCTGGCAGCACCCACACCCAACTCACGCTTATGATGTGGCTTGGGCCTTTGGAGCCAGTCTCTCCTACCTCCTGGTCCCTGGCCTCCATGCTGGGAGCCTGAGAACAGTGCTGGACATTCCTACTTCTGGAACCTCATTCCCAGGACCAGAGCTGCCCATCCCCCTGGGCTACTACTCAGATTCCCACAAGCATGGCCAGTTCCTGATTTTCTTGAGGGTGGTACTGACCTAGTGGAGGTCTTGCTGTTGCATCTGTTCTTTCTGGCCACAGACTCTGGTGGCAACAGCTGGGCTGACCTTACTGCTCAGGGCCTCCGTGCCATGTATGGTGCTCATGGACTGCCTCTCCAGGGGTGCAAATATCAGGAGATGCAGCTAATACCTCATTGCCCTAGGGTCTGGCCTGAACTGGGTATATACTTACTTATCCTTCCATCCGTCCATCCACCTACCCACCATGCATTCATTCACTCATTCGCTCATTCATTCATTCATTCATTCTTTCCACATGCTTAATGTGAGCCAGGCTCAGGGGACTCTGTGAGGAAAGCCCTCCAGGGGTTTCCAGTCTGGCAGGAGAGGCAAGAATAGACACAATGACTGCATTGTGTCTGATGAAAGCTGTACAATCACAAACAGGAGCCAAGTGCCAGGGGTGCCCCAAGCAGGACATGGAAAATATCTGGGCGGGAGGGAGGATCAAGGAAGGCCTTCCAGCCAAAGACTGGAGGGTGCATAAGAGTTCAGCCGATGGCAACAAGAGAAAGTGGGGCCGCTTGGGGCCCAGGGCGTGGCGAGCGTGTGGGCTGGGCTTCCGCAGACCTACAGTAGCTGGTTAGGACTGGAGCACCAGCAAAGCCACTGAGGGGGTTCGGTGATGGACCTCATCTGTAAGGGGCCCCGAAACTCTGCATTTGTCCTTGGGCATCTGAACCAGCACACCTGCTGACTTGCAGCCTACCTTCTAAGCCCAGAAAAAAGCTGAATCAGTCTGTGCTTCACCTGGTGGCCTTCCTTCCTCCCTCTGCTCCTCCTGCTTTGTGGACAGGTGTCTCGGCCACTGCCTGTGTGAACAGGATGGTGATGGTGACAGGAGCGGGTCAGGAGGGGCGACGGTTGATCAGGGTAGGGAGACGGCAGTGCAAGACATATCAGTGTATATTTCCATTTAGGATCACAGGTTGGAAGGGGTCAGAAGTCTGTTGTGGTGACCCGGGCAAGGCATGACGGGGCCTGAATGGGAGAGTGGCAGTGGGATGCAAGAACAGACTGAAAATACTTAGGCAAGCCAGTCCTCAGGATATGGTGGGTCGTGAGACTAGGGAAGGGGAGGGGGCCACTGTGTCTCAGTCACCCTGTTTCTCTGACTGCATGTTGCTCATGGCCTTGTCTCTGCCCTCAGGAATCTTCCACTTGATTCAGATCAAGAAAGTCAGGAAGCAGGATTTCCAGAAAGAGGCACAAAACTTCCGGTTGCTCACCAGCACCCACGAAGGTGGGACCTTGGGCTGAGGACTGGAGCCTGGGAAAAGAGCCAGGCTAGGGGCCAGGGCTTCTTGGGGACTTCCAGGCTGCTGGTGCTGGAAGGGGGGGCTCCCCCGACTGTCAGCCACAGACATCAATTCCCGGCACAGGAATCTAGTGGGAGTCTGGGCCAGAGATTTCTCAACTTGGAGCTCCGAGAGGGAAGATGAAGCAGAGTCATTTGGATTTGATCTTGGGAGTGGGGGAGACAAGGCCGTGGAGGAGGGAACCCCCAAGTCCTAGTGCTGCCTATTCCTTGTCCACTAGAACATTTCCCTCTTCAGCATTTCCTTTTTAACTTTCTGGACACCACAGGAAGATTGAATAAGTGGGGGCTCCAGGTGGGGAAGAAGTCATAGGTGTCAGGAAGCCAGTGCAGCCCCCCGGTGGGGCAGGGTCATGTGCCTAAACTGGGTGTTGGGGTACCCACCTTTCTGTGGGCTCCTCTCCTGGCCCACACAGTCATCCTTGCCCTAAGCTTTTCCTACCCCAGGTGACTTTGCTGTGCATATGCATACTCACAACACACCATGCACAAACCACACACACAACCACACTATACACATCCCTTACACATAGACCACACCACAGACGTGCCACACACATGTGCCACAACATACACACCCCACGCATGAAGGCCACCCATACCATGCACACCACACATACCACGTACCACCCCACGTACACTCAACAAGTCTTCTACTTCCTCCCTGCAGGTCACTGGAACGTCTTCCTAGCCCAGACTCCAGAGCTGAAGGTCACAGCCAATCCAGAAAAAGCAACCAAGACCTTGTAACAAACACCTAAACAGGGGCAGACATGAGTTTTATCATTTTTGTTGTTCTCTATTAATAAATAAGACTTTGCATTAGCCCTCAGTCCTGCCTTCTGTGTCACATCCTCCCCTTAGCCTCACTGTGTCTGCCAGGCAGGCCTGGCCACCCCACTTTACAGGGCTGGAGACAGAGATGCAGAGGGCGGACACTGTCCTCCATTCTCACGGGAGCAGCTACCAGAGCAGGTCTAGCCACAGGCCCCCCACTCCCACCCCAGGGCCTCCCCACTGGACCCTCGTCCCTCTGCCACCCTGGCCTCTTTCCTGCTCTGTCTGTCCCTGTCCAGCCCCCAGCCAGGGCACCTCCTGCATTCCAGGGCACTTGTCCTACCTAGAGCACTTTAGCACCGGGTCCAGGACAGGGAATTGACTCTAGTTAGCCCATGGGAAGTAAAGACTCAAAGTACTTTCCCAGAAAATATTCCAGGGATCCTTCCAGATCATCAGCCCCACTTTACCACGAGGAAACTGAGTTTAAGGAGTGGCAGTAATTTGCCTGAAGCCACAGAGTGGTGGCAGCAGGTTTGGCACTGAATGTCAGATCTCACGCCCCGAGCGAGCACTCCCCGCTCTCTCTGCTGTGGCCAGTGTTATAAACCCAAACATTCTCAGCTCGAAGATTTCCAAGGCTCGGTTTCAGATTGCCAGCCCTGGCACCACAGTTTGAGAAGGCCTCATGCTTATGATTAAAGACATCAATAATGTAAGTGCCAAGGTGTACAACACCTTAGTGTCCAAACATGTTTTAATGCCCATGGCTGCACTAACAGTGAACCGAGAAGAAATGATCCACATTTTAGAGAGGAGAGTGAGGCTCAGGATCAGCCAGTGTCTCCCCAAAAACCTCCAGGATGAGTGGTGAAGGTGGACTCTATTCAGACACTTGTCCCAGACCATGCTCTCTTCTTGGCCCGGTTCTCTCCACTACCCCATAACCACGGTCTGCACCCACCTGACCGGGTGGTGTGAGCGGCCGGCTGGCTGGAGTTCTGCTACCTGCAGCCACTTCGTGGCCCTGGCTATTGTGTCTCAAACTTGGCCCTGGACCTGATATCTTAGGCCTGGGAAGCACCTTTATTCTGGCCTTGCTTACGTAATACAAGGGTTAATTTGGAATTGTGGGGAAGTGTGGGAATCACTCAGCTATTCACATGGGGTGTTGTCTTCTCAGGGAAAAGTACTCTGACACACCTCCCACACCCCCTCCTGCATCAGGCCTCTCCCCCTGCTGGAGAAGGGGGTTGGCCACCCCGCTCTGTCATCAGAGCTCCAAGGCCCTGGGACAGGAATGGCTTCCCTGTATGCTTTTCCTGATACTGCAGCCAATTGACTTCCTGGTTTTTCTGATGGACTTATCTGGAGCCTGCGATGTTCACCCCAAACCCTTCCCACTGTGTGAGGCAGGCCAGCACAACACCTCCTGATTTTGGTTCAGATCTTATTGATCATGCAAACGCCAGCTTCACCCAAAGAATCCTTTAGCAACGGTTATACCCCACCCTGCCTTCTTCCCCATGGTCATTCAAAAATACTGCCTCGACTGCTCTGGGTGGGCCTGACGCTAGGCCACCAACACCAATTCTGCCTCCCTGCCCTGGGAAACAAGGTCTTAAGGGAAAATGGGGGCATCCCAACACCGTGAGTGCGAAGGGCTGCGAATGTAGGGTCACGGGAGGCACAGCCCCTGCAAAGACACCCCAGCAGGCTCAGACGGACAAGCGGGCATTAGAAAAGAAGGATGGTGATGACATGGGAAGGCACACCTGCATGGAGGATGACCATGCACGTGTAGGGGAGAATCACAACTCGCTGCCGCTGGATAATCAAGTTGGAGCTAAAGAGCAAGGGGAGGTAAGGCTGAGGACCTAGCCCAGAAGCTTCAGCTTCACCCCTCAGGATGCAGGGAGCGCTGCAAGGGTTTCAGTGCTTTGCATGGATTCGTGGTTTAGAACCAAAGCTCTGCCTGCTGGGTGAAATGTGGTGTGGAAGGGTGAGGCTGAGACCAGTCTGGAGGCCGCTGTGGGGGAGGCAGAGAGCAGTAGGAGGCTGCTGTGGGGAGGCAAAGAGCAGGCAGGAGGCCGTTGTAGGGATCCACATGAGGGATGGCAATGCCCTGGGCAGGAGGGAGGTGATGGGGATGGACAGGTAGGCAGTGCTGATGACAGGCTCGGTGTGGGGGCCAAGGGAAGGGGGAACCCACTGGGAAATGAGCGTTTCCTGTGGTGACTGGAGGGAGAACCCAGAAGTTTCAGCAGTCATGTTGAGTCTCAGGAGATATCTCTAGTGCTTTCACTATAATGCAGATTTAGAGAAAAGGCTGGGCTAGAGATAAGGATTTGCAAGCCCCAGACCTGAAGATGATAACTAAGGCCAGGAGGCAGGAGACACTGGCCTGTGAGAGATCACGGGGTGCAAAGAGAAGAGGCACTGGGGCAGCTCGCTGGAGCTCCAGCAAAGGCAACTTCGTGGCGGTGGGAGAGAAGCCAGGAGAGTAGCAGATGAGAGTCCAACAAGAAGCCAGAAAAGGGTCCTCCACAGGTACCAGGAGGCCTCCAAGGACTGTAACAAAGCGACGTCTCAGGACAGCTGAGAAGATTGAGCAGGTTTCAGTGACTGAAGAAAGGAGCAAGCAGACAAGTCTTTCAAGAACATGGATAGTAAGGGAGGAGAGCAGCGCAGGGTAGTGGTTGGTGGGGTGCCTGGGGGAGAGGGAGTCTTCCAGATGGAAGAGAGTACAGCCAGTCTTGGTGATAAAGAAATCCCACATGAGAGAGAATGAAAGAGGTTTGGGGACAAATTAAAATCCATTGTTTTAAAGATTGATTTATTTGTGCATATAAGAACTGGCATACAGGCCAGAGGTATGGAGGGTGAGAGGATTCACCAGAGACAGAGTGGGGAGCAGAACAAGCAGACTGACTGAAATACACTGCTGAGGGGAGCAGCAGGCAACACAGGAGAGGTCTGCTGTGCCACATGGGTCACCTCCCTAGCCAGGGATTGAACTCATGCTGCAGTGGCTGGCAATAGCTTCATAGTGTTGTGGTTTAACCCATTGTGCCACCAGGGAGGGGCCTAAAACCCTTCTTCATTGGCTACTAGCTTGCTGCCTTACCCCCTGGCTGGTCTCTCCATTAGTGTAAGTAGGGAAAGGGAAGGAATCTCTCAGGACTGCCAAGCTCTACCCCTCATGGGGCTCCCTGAGGCTTCAGCAGGGACTCTTGGGATCAAATGTTAGGCTTGGTGGCCAAGTTGGAGATAGCCCAGGCACTGGATAAAGTGGTGACATCTCTTCCTACATACTGATTACTAGTTAACAAAGTACATTCAAGCCCATTGTCTCATCTGATACCTCGGAGAAGCCAGTGAGGAGGGGATTGTCAACCCCGCTAAGAGATAGGAAACTAGCCACTAGTAAGAAGTTAGTTGCACCAATAAGTAGAGGGCTTGGATTCCAAGTGAGGCCTGAGCTGTCTAATGGCCCAAGAGCACTAGAGAGGCAAGTCCTGGGCAGAGTCAGAGGCTCTATTTGCACTCACTCTTGTGGTAATTCCCAGGCCCCCAAACCTGACCAAGCCTGGTCTCTACTTTCCTGGGGAGGCCTTCTCCTCATCTTCTGCTTCTTTCTTCAGCAGCCACCTGCTCTCCCACTATGAACCTTGGGCTCAGAGAAATGGCAGTATTTCTGAGAAGCAGGGCATGTCGTATAGTTTTGAACTGGCATGGGGTGGCATGGGGGCTAGGGAAGGCCTGGAGCAAGATGCCATGGTCCCCCTCCCCCTCCTCCTGGCCCCAAGAAGACACCTCCTGCCTGACATCCTCCACAGGACCAGTGCATTGCAAGATGAACAGGAAGTGCTATGGAAGACTGGCTGAGGTTGGAAGCTGATGGTGTAACATGGTTTCTTTCAGGGAGTTATCTCAGATCTTACACAATAGGAATTAGAACCTGGGTCTCTGCACCCAGCTGAAAGCTATTTGAATCACCATGTGATATCTGAAGTTGTTCCTAGTTCCTACTTTATCTATATTGGCATACATCAGAACTCAACATAACTTGCCCAAAGTCAAACAGCAACGAAGGGTAGGGGCTGTAGTTAGAACCCACAAGGTCTCACCCCAAACTTTGCACCTGCCCACCCTATGCCTATCTCCTGATATCTAGGCCAAAGATGAGGAGCTAGGCCTCCCACCAGCTCCTCTACTACCAGCCTCACCCCTCCATCCTTACCCATCCCAGTCTTGTTGACAAATGCAAAACATCTTTCTGAAACACAAATCCTACTGTCTCTTCCTCTTTAAGACCTCCTGCCCTCTGCTCCCAGGGCAACATGGAAGCCTCTCTCCTGGCCCTACAGGATCTGACTCCTGCTACCTCTTGAGCTCCAATTCTCCCACTGTCTCCCCAGCAGCACCCATGGGCCAGTTTGTTGTCCTATTTGACCATGGTGGAATGGGTTTGGGCTCCAGGAGAAACTGAATCACCAACTGTAACACCATAAGAACTTTCTCTGTTTCCCATTGCATACCAGCAAGTCCTTTCCAACCAGCTCCTCCCCAAAAACCGCTTCAACACACTGTGCACTGCTTGGCATCTTGATAGTGCCGAATACGATGAAGTACAAAGGAACCGCCCTTTCAATTCCAACAGAACATTTGGGGTGGGGGGTTAGAAAGACTGATTGGGTGATACATAATCAGTCCTGAGTAGTCAGGAGTGAAGTACTAGAATCATGATTTGGGAAGCAGTTCCCCAAATTCAGGGGTAGGCAGCAAGAATATAGTCATTAAAGGAATACCTGTCCCTTGGCTACCATCACTGCAAGTTCGGATCATTTCTTAAACCAGTCTCCTCCTGTTCACATCTTAAACGTGATGTTCCTGCTTTCTGGAATGTCTTATTCTATCCTCCCTATAGAACTCCACATATCCTTCAGGATCTCCTCTGGAAGCCTTCCTTG